GACTCACTATTAGGGAATTTTCACTATAAAACAACGACAATAAAGTAGAACATTTCTTTTCTTATTTGTTTAGTTTCGTTTTTTTAAAATGATCTCTGGGTCTTCTAACCATTCTTAAAATATTTGATCGTTTGGTTGAGGTCATCGTCATAAGCCACAGTCATTTTGTACCACTTGACTCATCAAGCCGTATTTTTCGAAACAACTTTAAGAAATCTGGAAAATATTTCCTTTTACTATATAATACATGAACACTATATCAATAGCATGCTTAAATATCATGTGAAGGAAGAACGAAATTTTCTCTTTTCAAGTGCGCCCAGATCCAAATCAAATGCGCCTGAGATTTACTACTTGATAAAACAGTTTCTGATGCAAAAAATATATCGACAATATAAATAATTAAAAATACAAACCAAATACTTAGGGGGAATCATCACTATGGTTTTAAGAGGGCAGGGAGGACTGGTTATATAGCAACACCACCCCCCACCCTCCCTGGGGGGAAAACTCACTTCATAGCCAGTCTGCCGGGGGAAGTCTGATTATGGGAGAAGTCTCACGAAGACACCGGTACACTTAAAATTAACACATGTATATTTACGTCTGTATGACCTAAGTTAAACAATAAAATGGTTTCTTTGGTTGTTAGTATGAGAATTAATGTCGCAGCTGTCGCAGAAAAAATACATTACCCACGTAAGCGAGTTATGTAATTTTTTTCTGCAATAGCTGCGACGTTAATACCCGTACTAACAAACAAAGAAAGACATTTAATTGTTTATATTTATATCTGTTTAAAAAAATATTGAAAGTTAAATTAAATATGTTAAATATTGCTTTCTTTCGGTTTATTTTTTCTTGATAATCCTTCTGATGGACATTTTCGGTTGGGTGAACTTCTACAGCTATCAGAGACTATATATGGATAAAGAAATGTGGAAACCATGTTGCGCAAAAATAAAATGATATATACAAAAATATGATATAATTTAATTATCCAAAATGGTCATTGGATGCATTCGATTCTGCATTTTTTTAATCGTTCAAAGTATTCCAAAAAGTAACATGTTACATTTGCGCAAAATACCAAACGCCAAAACCGTAATACTTCGAAATGATACCAATGTACTTGTATGTGTTCTGTATATATGAACCACAGTATTACTAGCCCTTTGAAAATAATATAGATAATCTGGCAAGTAGATTATAAACATTGGCTCGGGCACCAGCTAAAACTCTAGCTCGAAAGAGAAATTTGGAGTATGCTCCGAACAATTTGGTCATAAAACTTGGCTTCAAATTCCGACTCAGAAGTTTGAAGACGAGCACGTGCTCGAAATGTAGGCCATAAAACTTGATGGTAATAAATACATGTGATGCTGAAAGCTGGAGTAAGCTTTGTAAAAAGTAAGCTTTACTCCAACAAATGAAAAACTGGGAACGCATTCCGCAAAATTTTCGAGATAGAGCCAATGTCGGGTAAGGGATATTAGGAATGAGGCAATGAAAATGATGGTTGTATGAACCTAAAAGGGGCCAGTGGAGCACCCCCCCCCCCTTAAATAATTTTGCATGATATAATAAACTACAGAAAATAAAGCTAGTTTATGGATGTGCCCCCCCCCCTAAATACGTCTGATGACCTTTATTGGCTTTCAAAGGAACAGGAAGGTAGCATTAGGGGGCCTGCTTCCCCAACTTTTTCCAATCAGAACTTTTTACCCTTGAAAATGAAATGTTCATTGAACATTGCCCGGTTGCACCTCCCCACCCCCTCCCCCGTATTTGTTGCAGTATAGTCAAATACGGGTAATGTAGTAGTTAATTAATAAAATTTAGCAATGAAAGAAATTGGAACCTATTTTGCTTGTCAATTTTTTAAGTTTAGTTGATTTTTTTTTTTTCAGACTGACCCCTCTCTTTAAAAAACGATGCTATGCCCATGAGTAAATTTTGCTTGGTAGTGTCCACCAAAAATGCTTGGTTGTGTCCCCAAACTGAAATGGTTCTTAAGGGTCTGGAATTCTTGGACCAATTAAGATTTTATTAGTAATACCCCTACTCAATAAATGTTATATCTTTAAAGAAGGCAATATTGCATGAAATGTACTTCTAAATAGCATGATCTTGTATGATATGTAGTTCATATTGTAAAGTAATTTTGTCAAATCCATATATTAGACTAAACCTATCCACTTTAAATTAAAAACGAATATTTCTAGACGGAGGACCCTTCACGGAGATTGAATGTAGAAACTGACATTTACCAGAAAATGAAAGAACCTGTAGAATATTTTGATTTTTGTAATGATTGAAGATGAATGTCATTTTTTGCTTGAATTTTTTAGCGAATGTCCTGTACGTGTGTCTCTAAGAAAAATTGCATCAAACTGCATCATTTTAGGTCTCCAACTACACTCAAACCAACGCAGCTGTCTGCTCAGCAGTTCAAAATATCAGTGTTTCGATTGATCATGGAACTTTAATTCAATTTATAATAATTCATCAATAATGATGACAAGAAATAGTAAAAAGAGTCTTCTCAGAAGACATTCATTTTTGGCCTACTGAAACTTTGGCATTCAAAAGCTTTCAGAGACTTTGCCCTTAGGGGAATCTCAAGGCGCCCCAAGCCCCCTGCCTTATCAGCTCGCCTCACCCCACTTTAAATCCTCTACCCACCCTTGATTGTATTATAAGATACGCATGTCAGAGCTTTGGTAACTTTGATTATAAAGTGTTTCAAAAGTTAAAAAGCCCTTAGCGATGCTTGAGGACATCCCAGCCCAGGTATAAAAAGCAGTTTAAAGCTGAACACGACTCGTAAATAGGCATGCATACGCCATTTTCGATATTACTATCTAGGATATCAGCACCGGGATATACTCTTCGCATTTGTTACACCTGACTGCTTTATTGTCACAGGTATCGGCGTGGAATGGCGACAGGTGTTCGTGCTGGTTACCTTGCATTACTTTTGTTTACATTTTATTGCAATTACGTATATTTGTGTTTGTTTGTATACTGCACTGACCTGTGCAATTGTTGTAAATCTCCTTGGTATCTTACTCTCTTGTATTAGAAGAAGCAGTTATTTTTGTCGCCACCAAGTGCTGTATAGCATACGTCCGTCTACACCAGTGACAATTGAATACACTGAACAGTGACCAGTGAGCGGCTCTATATATAGGGGCCCTCAGATATAGCGAGAGTCCAATCGAATATGGCGGACAGATTCTTTTTACGAAGCGTGTTCAGCTTTAAATACTACGCAATATTTTTGGTGCATAATACGCTCCATACTCAAGATATGTACATGTTCACCAAACCGAAAATGTCCAATATGTTCCTTTTTAAAGACAGATTTCCCCCTTTCCTCTATATATTTTAGCACAAGAAAGTGCTAGGATGTATGACAATTACAATGGAAGTCATTAGTTTTATCTTCAAATAAAGAATTATAAGGTTTGTAACCTCGCATTCATTATTAATATATCATGTCTGGTAACATGCAAGTCAAAATATTTCACTGAAAATTTTAAAGGACTGATATGCATCTTTAAGATATTATTTCATCAACCTTTCTCCTTCCACAAAAACCAAGTTTGATAAGAAAGCATAAGTGTACATACATACATGTATGTTTTATTCCCTTCTTTGCATTGTCATTTCAACATGAAAGGATTTGTACATACATGTATGTATTAAGACAAGGAATTATTTTCGCAAATTTAAAAATTCTTTAAAATTCCAAATATAATATGATAAATCTTCTTCTACAATTGTTTCTATCAAAGTGCTAAACATTACTGAACTTATGAAAATAATGCATTACTTTTGAAAGTAAATTATATAATGATTTGTTAAATTGCATCAAATAATATTAACTTCGACGAGTTTTCTGAAGAAATATGTACTCTGATTTGACAAAAATACAAATATATATACACTTAACATAGTTCATACGGACCTTTCAAACACTAATTCCATGACTTTCCAAAACCTTCTTGTCTTTAAATCAACAATTTTTTTTTATTTCTCATGCTTCAATACAAAAGTACATACCAGTACAGCACAACCAACAAAGAGTAAACATTGTTAGACAATTTTTTTGTATATATTGCTGCACATAAACCTCTAAACATTTACAGTCCTTTTTCTTGCAATTTTAAGTATAAAAATTATTAATATCCAAACAATAAGCTTTTTGTTGTGTTACACAAGATGTGACGGTTGCCACATTGCTGAAAAAATGCATAACCTGCTTCAGCTTTGTATTATAATATGAACACCCCTCCCTCTGATCTGCATGTAAAGTTGTAAACATGATGGAAGTATTGTGGTACATGTACAGTAAACACACAGTTAAATCAAAGTTTTGAGAACTTGTGGATTAATAATTGATTAAATCTGTATCAAATTTGCATTAAACTACAATTAGTGAATTGGCAATACACAAATTTCCTTCTTATAACTTCTGTCATACATGTATGGAGTTTATGTCTTCAAGTTGATTTGATATACAAGAGCATGCTCTACAGACAATAAACAATCTTTAAAATGGGGCAAGCTATTGACATATAAGTTGATGATACAAGGATATCAACAGCCCTGTTTAAAGTCAGCAATTTGCAAATTCTATGATGGATTAGCAATTAACTTATTAGCAATACAATCTTTTTAAGTCAAATGTTGATTGACCTTTTTCATACTAAATGTTATGCAATTATTTTTACACTGAATTATGACCCATAATACCCTAACTTTAATCCACATATCCTGGGGATGCTTCAATATTGATTAAGAAGGTCATGTTGTTCTGCAGAAGGGGGAAACACTCATTGAATAATAAAAAATTGCTTCCAGATTCTAGCTTACTCTAATACTGGGAACAATAATTTAAAGAAAATTTGAATCCACATAACTTGGGAATGTTTCAAAAGAAGTGTTGGCATGGTGTTTTCTACATTGTTTTTTCAAAAAATATCATCGTCATACATTTCACTTTGAAATATTGATCCCCTTTGTTGCCTTATTCTACTCCTGAGGGCCAACAAGTTGTAGTCCCATTTTACCCCCAGGGACCATTATTTGGAAAAATTAAATCTGCTCTGAGGATGATTTACAACATATTAATATGACTAATCATGACCTTGTTATTCTTTACAAGAAGAAAATAAATATTTTTCCTATATATTCCCATGTGTAAAACTGTGATCTCCTGTTGTGGCCACACACGATTTGAACACCCTTAAATCAGGAAGCTTTCACATAACATTAACATTTTCCAGCCAAGTTGTTCTTGAAAAGAAGACTTTAGAAAATCCATCAAATTTTCATGAACTCTTAATTATCTCCCCTTAAAAGAGGGCATGGCTCTTCGTTTGAACAAACTTTTTCCCCTTTTATTAAAGGATGCTTTGAGGCAAGTTTGGTTGAAATAGTCCAAGTGATTCTAGAGAAGAATTCAAAAATGTAAAAAGTTAACAGACAACACACATCAGATGGACAGACAGAAACCAGACATTTTTCAATCAGAAAAGCTCACTTGAGCTTTAAGTTTGGGTGAGCTAAAAAAGTAACATGTACACTTGATGAAAAAAAGGCAACATTATATATAAAAAAGAATTAAAAAATAAATGTACATGCATTAATATAAATTATTAGGCAAAAAAATCCCTCTCCAGATCTATGGTGTTGTTGACAGAATATTCAGACATAATATTCGAAACTCTTCCAACTTCTTTTCTTTTTGATCAGTGTCTTCATTTTTTTTCTTCCTTAATGTCATTTTTAATTTTTGATCGTAGTGCTATGGGTGATGATACTGTGAAAATATATATCTCTGAAATAGGCAGTCTTCTTTTTTCCCCGTCATTTGATGTTTTCAGGTAATATCTGAAAAGAAAGCATCATTCATGAGCATTTAAAGCAATGTAAGAAATATCAACAAAAATTACAACCTACAATTTCCATAAAAATTATGAGGGGTTTAGAAATTCTGCATTCTGTAGTAAGTTTTAACTTTGAATTCATTTCAATGTTGTGACTGTATTTATTCTAGTTGAACCAAATTGGGCTGAGGTTCAAGGTTTTACAAAAAGAAAAAAAAATACCGGGTAAGGGAAAATAATATCAATTGTTCTTTCTACAGAAAGGTTTTACTCTGTCAATAAGCTCAAGTGATGCAGTGGTTAGAGCATTAGTCGCTTTGTCTGTCTGTCAGTCTCTCCCACTTGGCTTTCTGCACTTTTTTCCTAAATGCTTGCAGAAAATGAGCTTTTTTGGGTAAGTGTGTGTATCTTGATGAATTACCTTAGATACTTGCCTATAAGTTGGTTTTTTGGGAGTTAAACTTTGGTCCAAAACTCTTTACCGACTTATACGCAAGTTTTAACAAGATTGGTAATTTAGTGGGTCAATCCCTCTAATTTAAGCTTAATAAATACAACCGACTTATAGGCGGACCGACTTATAGGCGAGTATATACGGTACAGATCAAGTTTCAATTTCATTCCACAGGGATTTATCCAAGTTTTGGGGGAAACTGTGTTTTTTGAGAAGTTAGGAAATTACTTTCAATTAAATTAATTTATTATTTTGAAGCAAGTGATCTTTTTTATAAGGTCTACTTACCCTTTCTACTGTGTGTACATCTGTTCTCCAATTCAACTAACCTGTAGGATCTTGGCTAGTAGTTGACAAACTAGGGGTATCTGTAAGTTAAAGACAGATTAGTAGGAATAAACTGTATACATGGAAATTCCCCCCCCCCCCATTTTATTTTCGCCCCTTTAGGCCTACTCACAGGTGTGCAATTTTAAAACGGGGTAAATTCAAAGAACACAGTATGTATAATTTCTTAAACAGAACTGTGACTGACCAATTTTAAAACGGGGCAAAATTGTTTGCAAGTGTGAAAGGGCAAAAATACCATGGGGTGAAAAAAGTCCTGTATAGAGTACTGCAAATCACCAATTTTCCATAATATCAAGTACTACTGACCATGTTGACAACGTTTTAAAAGTAGGTCTTAGTGTAATAAATGCTGGATAAAATCTACTTATTGTTGTGTACAATTAGAATTTTTCAGTAAGAGCTCTAACATTTAACCAAACCTTAAGAAAAAAATCTTATTTCTCTATTAAAGTTCTTGCAAGTAAATATTATAAATTTGTAGTAAACAAAAGAATATCTTGCTTTTAAATTTACAATATAGAATTATTAGAAGTACATGGACAATTAAAATAACACTTCCTATGTAATTCTGACACTCTTAATTGTTTAATCTGAATTGCATTAAGCATGTTAAGGTATTCCTTTTTTCACTTAGGTAGATATTTTTCCTAATGAAAACTAATCCTTATCTAACCTATCACTCATTTTAAATGCAACAAAAATACATTTTTAGAATCTTCTGAAAGACAGTTCGACAAGACTAGTACTCGTTAATGTCAAACCCTGACAGTCAAACCCTGTTATCTTGACCTAGACGGGACTGTGAAAAAACTTTGAGATATCTGGAAGATTTGGGATACTGAGGGAAAAATTCTTAATAATAAGTGATTGGGACTAGAATACCATATTTTACATGGTATTCGAGATATCAGTGTTCGAGATACCGAAGTTCAACTGTACTCTTATTACTGTAGTATGTATTCTATAAACCAACTATTATTCCTGACAATTTTTATTCAGGATTCCTTACTTTATTGAAATCCATCTGCAACAGTGACCATTAATTTTCACAGAGCTCTAAGGAAACATTCTAATACACTGTCACAACTTATGCATGGCACCTGATGAGAAATATTTGCAAGTAGTGAAGGTTGCGAATCTTGCAGATCTTTCTTGTAGGCAAGTTAAAGTTGGTTTACAGCATATTATGTATATATACTGAACTTTGCAGGGTATAATAAAGTCTTACTTCAAAGTAATTTCATCTAATGTTTCCCTAAGTACGACATCTTTCATCAACTGCAATCAAAATTGGAATACATAAGCCAGTTCCAATGTCCTTCCTTGCAGTCCGTGGTATTCCCTGTGAACTGAGATTGGGTCTCCATGACTTCAGCCACTTTAATTCTTGATTGTCCCCAAATCTTTAATCTTCAAAGAGAAAAAGCGTCAACTCAACTTAAGGTCAATATCTTCCTAGAAACTTAGTCTTCCTAGAAAAAAGATGCTCAAAAACCAGAAGTCTCTGATGAGACTCACAGTCGCTCTACTGGGTTGTACTTATAACAAAGGAAGAGAAAAGTAATACTTGGATTGAAACTTTGTAACAGCAATAAATAGAATTAAGTATCATAGTGTTGTCTACTTGTGTGCCAAGTTATACTGTATTTAAACCAATACTGTAGGAGAAGTAGCATTTTGAAAGTATTTTACAGAAATTTCTATTTTTTGTTTTTTGTAACCATGGCAACACTGTTGATCAAAATCCAAAACAGATATACAGAATTATGTAGCTTAGTGTTGTCTACTTGTGTGCCAAGTTATATTGTTATCAGACCAAAACTGTAGGAGGAGTAGCATTTTAAAAACAAGAGGCCCATGGGCCACATCTCTCACCTGAGCACATTGGCTAAGAAAAAAGCAAAATTCAGTTCACTTCAAAAGGGGGGGGGGGGCTTGAATTTTAACTACCTGATGATGCTTCAATATCAATATAACAAAAGGCTTTGATGTTCTTGCGCAGATTTTTTCCTATATATTCATTTGTAAAAATTTCATTCCCCATTGTAGCCCCACCCTACCCCCGGGGGCCCTCATTTGAACAAATTATCAATATGACTAATCATGGTTTTTCTGTTCTTGCCAAAAAGATTTTTTCCTATATATTCCTATGTAAAACACTGATCCCCCATTGTGGCCCCACCCTACCCCTGGGGGTCATGGTTTGTACAAAATTAAATCTAAACGATCTGATGATGCTTCCGTATAAATATGACCAATCATGGGTTTGCTGTTCTTGAGAAGAAGTTTTTTTCCTATACATATACTCCTATGAAAAACTCTGATCACCTGTTGTGGCCCAACCCTACACCTGTGGGTCATGACTTGAAAAAAACTTAAATCTACACTACCTGAGGATGCTTCCATTAAAATATGACCAATCATGACTTTGCTGTTCTTGAGAAGAAGAGTTTTAAAGAATTTTCCTATGTATTCCTATGCTAAAGTTTGATCACCTGTTCTTGCTCCACCCTACCCCCGGGGGTCATTATTTGAATCTTCACTATCTGAGGATGCTTTCATATAAATATGACCAATCATGGCTTTTCTGTTCTTAGGAAGAATATTTTTAAAGATATTTTCCTATATATTTCTAGGAAATTTTGATCCCCCATTGTGGCCCAACCTTACTCCCTGGGGTCATGATTTAAACAAATTTGAATCTACACTACCTGAGGATGCTTCCATATAAATATGACCAATCATGGCTTTGCTGTTCTTGAGAAGAAGATTTTAAAAGATATTTTCCTATATATTTCTATGTAAAAACTTGATCCCCCACTGTGTGGCCCCACCCTACCCCCGGGGGTCATGATTTGAACAAATTTGAATTTACACTAATTGAGGATGTTTCCATCTAAGTTTCATCTTTCCTGGCTCAGTGGTTCTTGAGAGGAAGATTTTTAAATGATGCCATTATTATTTCACTAATTCCTAACTATCTACCCTTGAAAGAGGTCATGGCCCTTCATTGAACAAACTTGAATCTCTTTCACCCAAGAATACCAGGGCCTGGGAAGGGGCCGCGCCATGCGCCATATGCGCATACTGTCGAAAAATGGCGCAATGAAATAATGGTGCGCAGCGCCATGCGGCGCACCCCGCAAAATGCGGGTATGCATGTTTTATTACTTTGTAAGTTCATCGCAGTCTCCGCTATCTGTATTCTTCATCGAAGTTAGATGGAATCTTGATATATTATATAATAAAATCGGAACCATCATTCGGCATATTGACATCCACTGGCATAGAAACAGTTTTTTTTCCCATGTTGTTCGATTCGTAAGTGTCAATTCGTTTTCGATGGTTGACCACAGCTTTACCAGTTTACGAAAGTCACGCACATGGAAAATTTATATACCTTACAATGAAAAACCCTTTCAACGAAGTCCACTTATTTTAGCCTGTCCCGTGATCTCTAAATCGTCATCGTTAAAAAATGGTGCTTTTGGTTTAAATACAATTTTTCTAAATACTAGTTGGTTAGAATCTAGATGACGATTGACGGAAAAATCATTTGTACTAGTCAATGTCATATGACTTGTCAATTCCTATCGCATTTTTCTTTTTAATTTTCCTAAATTTTATTGTCAGAGATATATGCATTATCCTATAGCATCATACTATGATTTATTTTAGAATGGCCCCAATATATTTCCCCTCGGCCCCTTAAATTTCAAAATGGCCCCATCATTTTACGAACAGTGGGGCCATTGGCCCCACCTGTTGCTTGACCTTCCCAGGCACTGGAATACTTTGTAGCAAGTTTGGTTGAAATTAGCTCAGTGGTTCTTGAGAAGAAGTTGAAAATGTGAAAAGTTTACAGACAGACAGACAGCTAGAAAGACAGACGGACACCGGACAAAATGTGATCAGAAAAGCTCACTTGAGCCTTCGGCTCAGGCGAGCTAAAAATTATTTACAAAAGGACAGACAGAAGGACGAACAATGGACACCTAACTAACGCATAAGCTCTTCTGGTCTTCATCCAGTAGAGCTATATACTGACAGAGAGACAGACAGACTACAACCGCATACTTGTGGGGAATATTTATCACTACTGACTTGTGGGGAATATTTATCACTACTGACTTGTGGGGAAATGTAATGATCACTGTTGAGTTGTGGGGAATATTTATCACTACTGACTTGTGGGGAATATTTATCACTACTGACTTGTGGGGAATATTTATCATTATTATACCTTTACTTAATTACTCTATATAAAACTAATACCATAAAACTGAGAAGATATTACTTCCCTCATCTGAGGACTAATTCCTGAAAATCAGAGCTACTCCCTGGGAATACTCCCTCATGAATATTTATTAGTAATTTTAACCAATTAAAATGAACAGTGGGTGGAGCGTTCAAGGAAACTTTAGTCTGTGACGTAATGTTATTAACAATGAAACTATGACGTCAAAACATTTCGATATGCCAGGTCAAAATCATAGTGATACTAAACCAGATTTGTAGAAAAATGAAGACAACGGTAATCCTTTGAAATGTCTGTGAAATAATTTTTTTAATTAAAATAATTTTATTTTCCTCGGTATTCAGATGCATTAGATATTTAACAAAATTTGAATAACATGCATTTGTGATTATTTAAATGCCTCAATCTATATCGTTTTAAAAAATGCCTGAGTCTATAGTTTATAAAACTCTTATGATTTCCGTATAATAAATCAGTTCTGGAATGGGTATGAGGGAAACATCAAATTTATGGCTCGTCGTGGCAGGAAACTATTTCCCTCGGCGGTTTCACCCCCTCGGGAAAAAGTTTTCCTCCTCGGAGAACCATAAATTTGCCATTTCCCTCATACCAATTCCATAACTGTATATTATTAATATACTTTTGTTAAAACATTTCCTGTCTAAAGTTAAGAAGGTAAAATAACAATTTTTGTATAGTCTAAAAATGTCCAGTCTTACAAAGTTTAAACTACAGGTAAACTTCGGTATCTCGACATCGGATATGTCGACAACCTGGGATATGTCGACATCCTTCCGCGGTCCCGGCAGTGTTTACTATATAAATGATTTGCAAAAACTCTGATATGTCAACCTCGGTAATGTCGACAACCCGGGTTATCTCGACGTATATTCACAGTCCCAAGAGCAAAATTTACCTGTCATATGTCGACATCGGCAATTTTCTGCTCTACTGAACCTAACTGTTTGTCAGATAGGGTCGCTCGTCACGCTCGGACGACTCCGGGTATCTCGACGTCGTCAAAGTTTCACACCTTTCACACCCATGTTTTGACTGCATGCTGCTTAATTAATTTTATAGACTGTATTTGTAGGTGAATCCCAAGCCCCTTCGGCGTCTTTGAGAAGTTAATTGAGCTTGGGTAATATCATTGCTAAATCTACACGATTCTGCGTAAATGTACAGAATGTTATTTATATCGAAACGTAACATAACTTTTAAATTTGAAAAAAAAGATAACTAAATTACAATGAATAACAAACACACTGAAAAATTCAAACTAAGGAATTAAAAAAAAATGTTTTAATGATATTTTGAAGTTAAAATGTATTCAACAGGAAACAATCCAATTAACGACACGATTGACCGAATCAGCCGTAATTCGTGCATCTGTAACATCACTACGCTAGCTTAGATACACAAATCTCTTAAAAAAAATTATTTTAATGTACATTCTTCCTGAATGAAATAAGACAAAAATAATCCACATTTAATTTTTTTTACCGTATATCGGATGTCGACTTTATACGGTTCGAAGTTTATAGAGCGCAATTCGTATCCTGTTCTGACGAAAAGGCAAGTTACACGCGAATGCAGCTCAATGCTGTAACTTTGTGCTGAAACTTTGTGAATTTAGAAAGATTTCGATAAAGAACACGTTTTATAAACAAGATTTTTAAAATAATATCTTAGATTTTTAATAAAAATAGAGGGAATTCTGAAATATGTTGAGCTACAGTCGATATTAAAGTCATGTACATATAATAAGCTTGTCTGTTTTGCTATGCTGTGAAATCTTGGACGTCAAGTATCAACTCTGATATCTCGACACCTCGGATATCTCGACATTTTCCGATGGTCCCGTCGATGTCGAGATAACGAAGTTTACCTGTAATTAAAATTAGTGTTCCGAATCTGCTTCCAATTCTCAAACATCTAAGCCTTTGGTAGTAAAAACACACCTTACATCGTCTACATATTAACAAGAATGCACAAGATTTAATCTGGCGTGCCACTGACATTTTTTTTCCCTTTTGCAGTGCACATTGTTTACTTTTGATTCCCTAATTGTCATTTCAATTAAATTAAATGATTTTGTTAAGGTTCATGTGTCATCAGTCAGGTTCAGGAATTCTCTGTTTATAATGAAAGAACAATGATCGCTACTGAGAATAATCTCACTATTTTATGAGTTCTTAATATATTTGAAGTCAAAAGAGGTGGTATCGCTGTTTTAGTTTACATAACAAAAGAATTTCAGGTTAAAAAGTGCAATTTTAGGCTAATTAAAATACACAAAACATTCTTCACACCTTAAAAAGATCTATTGAACATCTCTTGATCGTGTTGATGGAACAAATTCCATATGTTTCAATTATTTTATCTTTTTCATCGCTATTAACTTAGAAGAACTTTACAAAACCAGTTGCACCATGACAGAAATATGTAGACAAGATATCATCTCGCTGTGTGATGCCATAACCTCTGACCCCCTCAGGCCTAATAAGTTCATACAGAATTGAACATATTTTCTCTTCAATAGGTTCATCTAAGAAAAGTATTTGCAAATGTTTATATTACAGAATAAACAACTTCATTTTCAATTTTCATGATCTTTCTCAAAATTCTGTGTTGCAATGTTGACAATGAACATGTTGAAATAGTCTTTGTTTATTTGAATGACTTTAGTTGGACTTTCACTAAGTAATCCCTATACATTTTATGTGTCATCACTCTGCTACAGAAAGTTTTATTTAAATCAAATTCTTTCTCTGATTGCGCAAACTTAGATAAAACAAGAGCACCACTAAGCGGAGCATCCCCTCGCACCAGGAACTTCACCAGTAATGGCAATGTCTCCATACGAGAAAAAAATTCTTAAGAGGGACGTTATCTACAATCATCTAGTCCTAGTAATCAAGGGTACCCAGTATTACTATATACAAGTAATAGCTTTTCAAAAAGCTTGCCTGACTAATCAATCATTGTCTATGGAACGTATAAGCAAGAGAGGTGCTAAACATTTCCGTCATCAAGGAGCGACATAGTTGCGATCATACTTAATTACACAAGATGTACAATTGCATTGCCGTAGGAACTGGGGGAGGGGGCACAGGGGAGCCGTGCCCCCCCCCCCCCCCCAATAATTTTGATGATATATAGAATACTATAGAAAACATAGCTGCTGTATGCTTTTGCCCCCTCAATAATATTGTCTGATGCCTTTTTTTTTGCTTGTCAAGGAATTTTGGTAGTTCATAGTCCCCCCCCCCCCCACTGAAAATGTGTGTTTTTGCCCCCTCAAAGTGAAATTGCTTCCTGCGAGCCTGAATTGACTTTCTCAAATGTCATAACCAAATCCTACAGATTAACAAATATCTAAGACATGTCACTATTTGGTCATTTATTAGTTAGCCCACGGGCTGACTAGTTACGTTGGGATGAAACTGCAAGAACACTAGCATAGATTATAATTCTGGGAAAAATAGTTAGATGATTTGTTTTAAAGAAACTCATATTACATGTATTCTCTTACCAGAGGGCACCCTTCTTCATGCACACTCTCGTCAGTGATAGATTGATGAGACGGCCTCTATTTATAGACTGGTCTCTTTTCCGTCGTTCTCGACGACGAAGTAAATTATGAACACTTTTAACTGGGAAAGTTGTCTTGAAGTGTTTGAGACAAAAATGCTTCAATGCTGCTCTAGAACTCAAAGTAAATGCCCTGTACAGTTTATAGCTAGAGCAAAACAAGATACTAATAGCACCCCCCCCCCCCTATGAATAAGTTTAAATTACATCATTATGTATAGTTTTAAAATTGTTCAGTTTTTCTTTTCAATCGATTTCAGGACCTTTCTCATAATTTATAATAACATGCTTTTTTACGAAATGAAAACCAGTACAGATCATGATGTCTTCTTCAATTTGCCGATTCTTTACTTAGAACCTTACGAGGTGAAGCCCATTCCTCTACGGGTACTGACCTACACTCTTGTCACTGTATTAATATGAGGCCAAACAAAAAAATATGTGTGGTTCCGGTTACACCTCCAAAAAAAATTAGGGTAGGTAGGTAGGGATTTTTTTTTTTTTTTTTTTTTTTTTTTCAACAAAATGATTTTCTTATTTTTTCTAAATAATACTTATCACTACTTTGCAATGACATTTAGATGTGGTGTGATCAGGGCTCGAGCTGTGATTCGCCATTTGCGCCAATTGCGAATTTTTTCTAAAAGTGGCGAAAAGAAATTCAAAAGTGGTGAAACTGATTTTTTTTTTTAATATACCATACAGAAGTGTGTGTACTCTTGGCTATCTCCTTTGTTTATTCAATACGTACAGATTAGCCCCTTTGTTTATTTAATGCAAGCAGACGAGTGAATTCAGGGTGTGAAAACTCCATGAAACTTACAAAACAATGTACGCATAGGAAATCACGTCTTGCTTGAACGCACACAGCTGACAAGGTAACTTTAGCCTGGAGCAGAAAGGGGATACAAAATTACTTGAAATAATATAAGATGGATTAAACAAGGAAAGACAAAGTGTGTTTTGGAGATGAAGTTAGCTAATAAAAGATTTTAATCAATGAAATATGGATCTATATAAATTGTTTTTTTAACCGAAAGTAGGAAAACATGACGAAAATTGCAGAGCATGGCTGCTAATTTTACCTGATTAAAGTCAAAATAGTGTGTTCATTATACCATAAACTGACAAAGAGTGAAAGAGATACTGGCTTGGAAACAATACTTTTGTCAATTACGCAGATTTATTTTCAATTACATGTATATGAATTTACATGCATACACCCAGTGTCCAAGTTGTTAAATTAAGCAAAGTTTTAAACCTGATTTTAATTACTTCTTTTCACAATAAATTGTTGATATGATTAAAATTTTCACTTATTATTTTATTTTTTTTCATTTTTAAAAAATTGTCATATATCTTTAATAAGTCTGTAACCCCCCTTCCAGGGCTAAAAAAATGTTATGAACAAGAGGACATCTACTGTCAAGACTTGGCTAATATCAGTATCAAATTAATTGTATAAATGTAGAAATAATTCCTATATTAGTTTTGTAAGTGGATACAACTTTAAATTTTACAATTTTCAATGCCTGTGATATAAAAAAATTGAAATAGTGCTATTAGTGGAGTGTTTAGCATATACACTTGTTGAAATGAGATGTAAGAATGAGATTCCTTTCATCGCGAAAAGTGGCGAAAAATATTTTCGCTCCAGTGGGAGCTCTGGGTGTGATAATATACTAGTCAATATTGGTAGGGGACACCTACATGCTAGCTTGCTTTGGATTTAACACTAATAAACACTTGCACTCTGTTGTGCAAAAGGGCCATCATTGCTGAAACTAAAACTTAAACCAGAGCCATTGATGGAAATTGGGGAAAATTCCGGAAAAAATATGAAAATTGCCCAAAAAAAAGTTTAGGGTCGGGGGTATAAAATAGGGACGGTCGGGTAACCGGAACCACACATATTTTTTTATTTGGCCTGATTAAGAGGAAACCTAGTTCATCACAATTAAAGCATGAAATAATATGCTACTGACTTTGTAAGCTTTTTTAAAAGCCTAACCTTGTAACGTACATTATTAATAAACGTAATATTGAAAGAAAAGGTGGAAAACAGACTGAATCAAGAAGGGATGTCCCATTTACTAGGTGGAGGGAGTTTGTTTATGATTGGACTAGTCCACTTATAGGATAAATAGTGAGAATAATCAGCAAATCCATTGCTTTAGTGTTGCCTGCCCATATACAATGTGTTCTTTTCAAAAATGAGATAAAATTTACTGTTAATAAAAAATCTGAAGCTTAAGAATCAGGTTAAAAGAATAAACTTTATTTATTTCCATAGAAGTTATCACACCCATTCAATAGAACAATCCAAGAAAAAGGCGCGAAGATAATTTACATGTGACGTTTCGCGCGAAATGATTGTGTCACCCCTTTCGTAAAAGGCAAATGGACTGATCCAGTAGTTTAGAAATGCAGAAAAAATGTTACATGGACATGTCCATACAAAGAACTGCAAAGAATAAACATGTGCATGCAAAAAACTGAAGGAATTTAACACATCATTAATTTGCATCAGTAATATGATTTTCTTCTGCAAACTGTTTTTCTTTAAATGCAGGTAACAAATTCCGTTGTAAATCAGCTTGCACAAAATCTAGTTCATTAAGAATGATCGGTTAGTTTCGGATCTTGGAAAAATTAATCCTTATACTGCCTGAGGCACGTGGCGTCAGGCAATAAAGTTTAAAATAAGGTAAAGAAATTAAAATGTATTGCAACACTAATTAAATTTTTAACAAATGTCAAGGTGGATATCATCGGGGGAGGTTGGGGCATAACAAGCATACGTGATTGGGCAGTTTCCCATAACGGTATTCCTAGCAGAAACATATCACATATGCTCTAAATTTCAGTAATTTACCTACCTGAGTATGAGAATATAATTTAAAATTATCATGATAATAGTATCTGCATAAACAGTCAGGGGCATAATGCAAACAAGTTATTGTCAAAAATAACTCAGATGAGTTATTTTTTTGTCACAATGAGTTACCTCTCTTTGCTATGACCTACTTTTTCCCAGCATTAGTAACTCAAACACCTTATCTTTCCAAAATAGTTTCAATAAAAAATAACTTGTTTTTAGTTATTTTATGTCATTCCTCCCTAACTTCACATTTTATCAAACTGGAAAAAAATGTGGATTCATCAATTTCATCACTTCTTTTTCAACAAAATATCTGGAAAAAGAAATTTAACTTTTGTTGAGTTTTGCCATTATAGTTTTTTTTATAAGTCAGGGGCATAATGCAAACAGGTTATCAGAAAAATAACTTAAATTAGGTATTTTACACACACGAAAATTTTTTTTAAAAATATCTTAAATAACTTATTTTTATATCCTACTTGGACATTGATTTCTTGGGAGTTTTGTATTTCCTGCCAATATGCATTGCATTTTGGGATTCCATTATGTAATACTAGATGGAGTGCACCAACTCCAATGGAGAATTGGTGAGGAGGTGTAGAGAAACAGCATTTTACTCCTTGTTTTGGTCGCCCCCCTGGCGCAGTGGCCAGTGGTTAGAGCGTTTGCTCTAGAGTTGCGGAGTAAGGAGTTGATCCTTACATCACAGGTTCGAATCCCACTGTGGGACGTGGAGACCGGTCCTTGGGATGATAAATCGAGGTACCGTGTCACAGTAGGTGCTGGCATGAAAAAGATCCCTCACTGCTCAATGACCCTAAGTGCCGATCAGTATAGGTCAAAATTTGCAGCTCTCCACCGGCAAGTGGTGACGTCTCCTTGTGAGTGAAACATTCTCAAGTTGGAAGGTTAAACAACAGACAAACAAACTCCTTATTTTGTGGTTTTATTTACATGGTTTATATGTCAAATTTTTATCATTAAATAAACAATTTTTCCCAATTTTCCCAAGACTTTGAACAATTTTTCTGGATTGAGCAAGGTTTAAATTTAATCAAACATTTGTTTTTGTCTTGGTGTACGAGCAAAAATCTTTGGTGCACGGGGTGTGAAGTTCATTGACAAAACGCTGATCTGGAGTTCTGGACTGTTAAGAATGTAATTGAGATCGACCGACGTCAAACTTAATTTACTTCAGAAATATCTGCAGTTTTGGGGTTTAACACAAACTAAAACACACAATAATAGTTTTACAGTTTTTAAGTTGAATCAGAAATGGTATATGGATGTTTATTCTGAGTGGATAAGGTAACCCAAACTATACAGTATCAAATACTAAGGGAAAATATTGAGAAAATGAAAGCTCCCATTTTTTTAAATGCCTGTGACGTTGAAGGTTTTACTGCGCCGTGACTTCATAAGATGTCCTGTTAAATCACTTGAAATTGATACCAATTTACAGTATTTTGATATGAAATTCTGATGATCATATATAAAAAGATTCTTTTATATTATTTATGACTTTTTGCTTGATTTTGTCGTCAAATTTATTTTCTGTGCTACAAGTCCGCATAATTTTTGAATGGCCCTCGTATCATACATTGTTATATATTTTTCTGAAGTTCCGAGATGCATTGTGATACCTTTTTGTAAAGATACACAGTCCTAGTGTTGTTCTTGGTGAGGCGGTCAGTTTCCCAGTGTTGGATATGATACATAGGTGGAAAAGAAGCAGTTTAGAGCTCTGGGACCTGGTCAGTTGAATCCTGGCCTGGTTAAGTGCACATGAGAATTACTGCAATTATTTTTATTCTGATTTTTATATGAGCGAATAACAATGGGTAGCAGGTCCAGTACAATCAGTACATTTAGCTACGTAGCTAAAATTACCTACCGTAGCTTTATTTACCTACCTCGGGTAGCTTAATTTAACTATTTCAAGGCAATTAACTTTTCACAATTTTGCTTTTTTATTTTAAAAAGACAAAAAATCACAAATAAATGACTAATAATATATTTATACTTGGGATTATTTAATTTAGTTATTTCATTCAAGAAGTAAACTGTTTGGTCACAAATTAACAGTTGTATATAGCCCCAAAACTTTTAGAACTTTGTTTGAAATTGCACAGAAAAACTACATCTCCAAGATTTTTTCATGAATTGTTTTCAGAGGAGTTCAAAGTTGAAAATTATCACAGCATCAAAGTGCAATTTTCTGCACTTTCTTGGGAAAAATGCTAATTCAAGAAATAAGTTTGATTAGGTAGCTAAATAAAGCTACTTCAGGTAGGTAAATAAAGCTATATAGGTAATTCAAGCTACGTAGCTAAACCTAGTGATTGTACCAGTCCTGGGTAGGTAAATCAAGCTAATTCTGGTAGATTTAAATTCCCAGGTAGGTAATTTAAGCTATATGTAGCTAAATGTACTGATTGTACTGGACGTACGTGTTAAAAAGACTGATCCCAGGGAGTTCTCAGTGATACTCTTCTCAAATTGGTTAATACTTAGTTTAGCATCAAACAATTAAACGTATAGATGCTTTTTCAATGACTCCGCCCTGATCAGCTGATCACTACCGGTCGTAAAGTCTAGATATGTTTTGCAAAAAGGGGGACAAGCTCCCAGCGCCTACCAGGTCCCGGGGGTAAAATATTGAATATAAATTTGCAGTTTTAGCCATTATAAAATAAAATCTTTGTCGGGTCTAACGTTCAAAGTTTCACGTAACACTAGGCCCTACCAGACTACATGATTAAATCTTACTTTTCTACTACGAAAGTCTACAGTTTATATACATAACTGCATACATGATTTATATCGCTAAAACTATGCAGGTTGTTATTTGTAAACTATTTTTTTAAAATAAAAATCTACTTACCATATGACTGTCACCTCGGAGCCGCCATTACCTGCAATAAGTTGGTTTTCCGCTCCTTTTTGGCCTTTGAAAGTAAACGATCATTGGGGGACCAGTTTAAATCCCGCCGCGTTCCGAATGAACATTTCCCAGCATCCTCAGACATAAGATTTACGGTGCAGTGATAAAACAGACTGTGTGTCAAAATTTCCCACTTATGGGGAATTTTTCCAAAATGACCACAAATCGAATAAATTTTATCAGTAGACCACGTAGAATCCAAAAAACCCCATGACCATATTTGTGGGGAACGAGAGATTTCCCCACAATTCTGAACTTTCCCCATAAGAAAGGTCCTTTGTCAGGTGTGAGTTCCCCACAAGTTGGTAAACGCGGGTGCTCTCTCTCTCTCTCTCTCTCTCTCTCTCTCTCTCTCTCTCTCTCTCTCTCTCACACACACACACACAAGAATGAATACTACAATGAAAAGATTGTGGTAATTTCATATGTTTATGTTTGTATTATAGCATTGTGGAATTCAAATAAAAAAAAAAAAGATTTTTTCAGCTCTTGTATGCATGTCAAACTCCTGCATGTTATCCTGTTTTCCAATGATCATCCCAGTCACGTAATGTATGTAATATGAAAGATGAACGGGAATTCTCATTTTCCCCTTCTTAATACTTCTGTGTTTACATACTCTCAAGTATTTATTTTATATAGCAACTGTAGAACTACGGTCAATCAATCAATCAATCAATTCAACTGAACAAGATACTGTAAAAAGGCTAATATATAAACCGTATCTCATGATTTCAAAAAGTTTTGAGCAATTTGAAACATGCAACTACAATCGCTACATTTAATGTTCTACACATGTGATGTTTCTGAACACCACATATTTTGTGCACCTCTTGATGAAACATGTTTTAATTGACATTGTTGAATATCAATTTCAATGAGTTTCAAGTATAGCTTAATGGGATGCAATATTTATCGGGATATACATGATTTTTTTATGATCTTATCAATTAGTTCGGAATTTTGAATACTAATTATTTAAGGACATTAATACAGTACACACTTAAGATTTGTAATTTCATGTTGGTAATTTAAAGCAATTTTAGTCGCTATAATTTTCCCTTTTTGTAATAATTGAATAAACTGAAATCTACAGTGCAATAAACAGTTTGCAATCAACTCATGCATTCTTTTGTTTTGTACATGTAATTTGACCAAAATAAATTAGTTATACGTTTTATTTGAATAACACACATGTAGATATCAACAGGAATGAAGAATGTTCCAGAATTTCCTACTTAATTACTCAATATATTTGAATAATCATTTAGTGATGATTAACTGTCAACAATTGTTTGTTTTGTTAACTTTCTCATTCTCATTATCATTTTATATACATGCAGGAGTTATCTATCCTGCAGTTGCCCCCTGGCCATGGTTTATACAAAGTTGTATCTACCAGAGCAAAGGTGAATTTGCATTTAACTGGAAAAGATTGAATATTATTGTTTCTAACCATCCTATGAAAAAATATTTTAATGTCTCCCCCTTTAATCCCCAAGTAATATTTTGACCCTATATTGTACCCTTTACCTACCCTCAAGGGCATGGTTTGGACAAATTTGAATCTACGCTTTGTCATGAAGCCTTCTTTCAATTATACGTTATCTTTTCTTGTCCAGTTGTTAGGAAAAAAATGAACGGATGCCCAACCTCCATATTTCCATTTTCTTGATTAGCCAAACAGGAAGATGATGTTACGTTAAACGTATTGAATCCCATTTAATCAATGGGCAGATAGCGAGAAAGACGAAATTTAACCAGAAAAAGATCATTTAAAGATAAGTTATAAATATAAATATGATAAGACTTAACTGGTATAAAACCTAGAACAATAACAGAATCCATAAAAAATCCTGACTGAAGGATTTATAAATGAATCACTTTTAAATATTTCTAATGCACATGCTATACAAATACCACAACTTACTCTGACATATTCAAGGTATTCGAGATATGAATACATTTATTCAACATACCGAAGTGCAAATTTATTTGGTATTGAAAATAATCGTAATTGTCCTATTCAGAAAAATGACCGATTATTGATCAACACGTTTTTTTCTGGACTTTGTAGTTCTTCATGTCCCTTTTGATAATTAAGAACAATTTGGCAGATTGCATAAAAATATTTTATAACAATCGTTTTTATTGGTATTTCAAACTAAAATCAAAATGCTATAGCATCATCAATGTAAACAACATGATCTGAGCAGATAAAAAAAAAATCAAAATATAACAGGAAAAGCTTCAAGATCAGAGTAATACTACAGGTTATGTGATTGTTTAAGTAAAGGAATACATTGTATTCAACTAAATTTAAATCTATATTGAAGATTTTTCCTTCTAAACCTTAAAGGAATTATTTTAAATACCTCATTCTGCTATTTTTTGTAATGTATAAAACTTCTTGTAACTCTAAATTGCCGCTATTCTCGGGTACATAGGTTATAAAACCCCTTCCCTCCGAGACTTCCCTGAACCCTTTGTCGATAGAAATGAAAGATCATTGTTCATCAGTTGACTATCACATAACATGTCAATGACGGACTACATAGGCTTTTTGAAAGCTAATCTTGTATGAAGACCGAAAAGCTCTCTTATAGAAAAAAACTTGTAGAAAGTTGTGATATATGAAAACCTAGACAATGTTCATCGCATGGATGACCTTGAGTTCTAATGCACTCTGAGTATTGTGATACCAGCGTGATGTAAACTTAAAAGAAAGGCATATAAAATATAATTGCTTCTGACGGCATCTATTCGTTATTTCACTTTTAGATTGATTGATTGTTATTAAATTTAGGTCACTTGCAGGATTTTTTTCATTTATATGATACGTCACTGTATGCCAGTGAATGGCTTCAAATTTAGACCTCTACTCTAAACTCAGTGCCATTGTAAGCAACAAGTCACTCTAGTTGGCATGAGCAAATAAGATAAAGTAATATAACCCATCCTAAACCTTTTTCCCCCTCCTTTTTTGTACATGTACATTAACTGCCTACAAACTATAAGATATATCAGACTCAAATGTCTTGTTTTACGATTTAAGTCAATTTGTGCTGCATTTGATCTTTCTCCCGACAATTTTTAACACACACTTACTGGGTTTTATGTCTGCATCGTGACACGTAATGCATTTATAACAAAGTGGATTTTTGTT